CCCCCCCCCCCCCTAAATGCCCGAAAGCCACAACATTGCCAAGCCTGAGAGACGGGAGTCTGTCAAGCGACGATATCGGACGCACCAACCTACGCAAAGTTCGCAGCAACGAGCACTGCAAGGTTGGCAAGGATCTGGGCGCTTTCTTTGTGTCTCAGCATAAACTTGACCCGGCTCACCGAGGCGTCTGTGCGAAGTATTTAACAATGCCAACGTTCGTCCAAGAAACGTACATCAAGCCGCTGGCAGATTCCCAGACAGCTGTATGGAAGGCCCTGGCTTCGGGATAGGAAGAGGAGCTTGCCTTCGCCGATGCAGTCAGGTCTGTCCATGTGCCACTGTCTCGAGCATACTCCCAGAGTTCGTCCGATTGACCTGGTGTGAAACGTGCCCCTTGACCTGCCACGAGAGGCAGGAGGGTTCCACCAAAGACCAGCATTGAGCGACGATCTGAGTCCCAAACACACGTGTGAAACGCCCGTTGGGCCGGCCAGGGATTCGTGGGTTTTCTTGAAAGCTTGATCTGCGAGATGGTTCCGTCCGTTTCAGGCGTGAACATCAACACGTCGTCGACAACACCGCCGCCGCCCGTTCCGTTTCCTGGCTGCAGTGGCGAATGTTCGTACTACTGCTCTGTGATGCACACGGAGCACACGAAACTGATTCGTAGCGTTCCAACTTCAAATTATTGCGTGGAACTTCATGCACGATCGCAGAATGGAGTCTGGTGCCGAGTCCTCCATAAGCAAGGAAGGAGTCTCCATCCTGAACCATGCAGTGTCCCGATTTGGAGACAAATGCTTCCTGCAGCGCGGAAGATTTGAAGCCACACAAACTCGCGGTTCTTATCTGGGCTATTCCCGATTTCAACAAGGTCTAGGGACTGGTTGATGTCAAATTGTGTGCGTCTGCGTGTGAGTGTGTCCCTGAACACAGCCTATCATAGCATCAGCTTGCGCCTGCAGCAACGTTTTTTACAGCACTACCTGGTCGTGAGACCTTTTCGTTGCTGGAACGTGCTAGTGTGCTGCCAGCCATGTTACTGAAACACCCGGCAAGCCCGATTAACCACTCAAGGAGTACACTTTCCACATGACCAAGCTTCAGATTTTCGACCGACGCGCTCTGTGATCACGACCCGGGGTGCCCAACTGCCTGGGATGCTGTTCAGATCCTCTTGGGAACACCCTACAACACAGGCTTGTACATCTGGCACATGTGGTTGGAAATGGGCCCAGTTCCGCCTTCACCTACCTGACGCACTAGACGGAGGATCAACGTGAGTCATAATGCCGAAAACAAGTCCAAGATGCCGTCGAATGCCCAGAAATTAGTCACTGGAGTGGACGCCGGTGGATCGTAGATTTCTCCTCCATAAACGTAGGTGACATCGCCAACCTGAAGCAACGTGCATCGCTCTACTGACTCTCAGAGCCAGACTCTACAGGTGATCGCACGACGAGCTGCTTCTGCATCTGTAATCGCTTCGCCCTAATATTAAACGCCCCCCCCCCTCCCTAATATTCAAACTCGCATCCTGGGGTTTGGTTTTAATATTAGGGGAGTTCCGGGGTCACACAACACGACCGCTCCCACGCAGCCCTGGAAACTTTAGCCAAAACCTCTTCATTCGCCCTGCAGCCCTAGTGTAGAAAGCCAGTCCCGAATAACAACCTCCCCAAATATT